ATCTCTTCTCCATATGTTTACCAGTGCCTTCAGATGTTGGCAATGGAAGCTGAAGTTTTGCTGATATACAACCTACTCCTAATATACAGAATATCCCTAATATACACACACAGGTGACCATCAATAATCGACTTTATTGACTGATCAATAATCGTCTTTATCCACTGTCTTCAGAAACTCTATGTTAATGATGTCTCTTTTATAAAAGACAATCTGCAAGAATGCCTTAGGTAAGGAAGGACTGAGAGAGTTCAGTAGACCAGAGAAATCATCATTTTTCTTTTCTTGTTTTTATTTTTTTAAAGCTAGGGACTCCTTGGTAGTCTGACCACCATAAAGGTAGCACTATTAGAGTCATAGCATATCTGAGCAGATGTGCTTTGTGCTAAGATATATATGACCAGGCATAAGCATGCCTCTTATTGCTGATATGTGAAAGGTTTTGAGTCCAGAAACAGGTTGAGGAGATGAGAAATATGCAACACTGACTGTGTTTCAAGGTGAAGACAGGAACATGGCCTTTGGAGGAAAAAAACCTCTGAGAGCTCTTAAAAACGGCACTTGTACTTGTTAAATTTGGTTTGAGGCAGGTAGTCCTTCCTACATTCACCATGTTGGCCTGATATATCAATTGCTCTGGTTTTCAGACATTCCCTGAATCATGCCTATGGTGATATCTACAGATCTCAGACTAAAAGGCTGTGAGTTGTGTGAACAGACAACAGAAGGCCATGTCCTGGAGTTGACCTCAATATATAGTCTGGATGAGTTTGGGAGAAGTGCCATATACTTAGCTGCCAATTATATCAACCCTCATCAACAACATTTTCCATGAGCAATCATTTGTTCTCTACCTAGGTGCCTGAAAAAGCCCTTGGTGTCACTTGGTATCAGTAACTGTGACCTCTCACAGTCAGACTTGGATTACCTGCCCTATTGCCTGAATATTTTTGAGCTCAAACACCTGCAGCTTTGTGATATATATTTAAGTTATTTACTCCTTGAGCCTCTTGGGTTTCTCCTTGAGAGTGTTAGAGATACCCTCCAAACCCTGTAATTGGAGTCATGTCATATAGAGGACTCTCAATTCAGTGCCCTGCTGTCTGCCCTAAGCCAATGTTCTCACCTCATAGAGGTCAATTTCTATGATAATAATGTCTCTCTGCCTTTGCTGAAACAACTTCTACACCACACAGCCAAGCTGCGTCATCTGACCTATGAGCGGTACCCTGCCCCTCTGGAGTGCTATGATGACAATGATGTAATACTCACCTACAGATTAGAAAAGTTTTGTCCTGAGCTCCTGCATATACATAGGACCGAAAGACGGCCCAATAGGGTCTCCTTTGAAACAACCCAATGCTCTAACTGTGGTGGGACCTACATTTATGATCTGGAGAGCCAACGTTGCTTTTTTGTAGAACTACTGTAAGGTTGATTGTAGAACAGAAATGGAAGCTGTGTATTGAGGATTGATGAAATCTTAAACGAATATTCACTGCTGAGTGGAGCATGGAAATGTCAACCACCTAAATGTCTGAGACACACTAGAAAGTCACAGTCTTCCTCTGAGCTGGTGAATGGATGTTGCATCTGCAGAAAATATCAAGCACTAATTTCTCCACTAGGATTATTGTAGTTTGAGTGTGTTACAATAGAGGCACCATTTTATGAGATTGGCACCCTGTGTTGACTGCATACAATAAATGTGTTGACTTTCTGGGTTTCTGGTATGTGGTTTAAAACTCATGCAGGGCGTGGGGCAGGTGAGCTGAGCCCATGCCCTGTGGGGAATGCAGTCCCGGGCACTGTGGCTCAGTAGGTAGTCCTAGCGGCAGGACTCAGCAGTACAAGCTGTCGGTGAACCACGGGTGAAGGAAAAGGACTCGCACACATAGAGCACACAGTGCTGGGGGTGGGGGGTGTTTGGCCTTGCCCATGGCGCGGCAGTGAAAGCAGGGTCCAGGGAGCAGGGGTGCAGGGACCCAGCGTGCCCAGTGGCAGTTGAGGAAGTCCCCTGAGCAGGGACAGGGGGGGGGCAGCCCGTGAAGGTGTGTCTGCATGGACCACCACTGCTGCAGGGGAGAGAGCCCCAGGGATGGCCGAAAAAGGGAGTCTCGGGAGAGGCTTTCCTTGGCATGGGTTCCCCACTTGTACAAGAGAGTTCAAAGTTCCAGGAGACACGTGGAATGGAAGACATGGAAGTTTTATTGGCCATGATGATATACCTAGATATTAATGCTCTCCCACAAAATGCCATTATATTGGGGAGTGGGGGAAAGAGGAGGGGCTAGAGAGATGAAAACTTAGTTATCTACACCCTGGCCTTTAGGTAATTCATTGATATGTAAACCTTAAGGTAGAGGCCTGTTAGTCTCCTGCCTTAGGTGACCTAACATGCAGGTTAAATGGAGGTGGGATTGCATGTTAGGCCTCTGGATTCTGGGGGCGTGGCCAAACACCCCAGGGTGTCTTCTACAGCCCCACACTGGTATGCCCCTATAAGAACACAGATCCTAATTGTTCCCAGCATTTCTGTACCTTATCAAGTTTCTTAATTCCTCCTCATCATAATTAGATCCATGTTAGATTTGTGCAGTTCATTTCATCCCAGAAACAGGTCTCATTAATGGGACTCAAAGAATACAACTTCCCATAGAAATAAATGTTTGAGAAAGAAATTTGTGTGTAATACATTCAGAACACAGCAACTAAGTTAGATATGGAGAACAATGGGATGAGGGGAGAGGTTTCTTTAGCAGTCAAGAAAATAAGAACCAAGTGACTACCAAGGCAGGCACATTTCAGCAGCTATGTCTCTGTATTTAACCTTTGCTGGAAGACAATATTTGCAACATATGAACATTCATAGCCCTGATACGAAAATGAGAAGGACATGATATGACCTTAAGCCATCTATTTATTCATACTTCCAGAACACTTTATATGTTGGCTAATAAGACCGTCACTAATTAGGCAGAGAAATAGTCCTAAAACCATCACCTTGTTCCCTCTGACAATTCCTCA